TTTAAACTCTTCTAAAAGTAACCGAAGCAACATAACTTGTTAGAAAAAGGTCCTGATCGTCCGCTTCCTACGTGCAAATAGAACACGACATAAACAAACAGATGCTTAAACAGTGTCTTTTTCTCAGTAGAAGTTCAAACAAAGATAGCGCCTATTTATAAATGTTATATAATCCCTGTCATTGCTAGTCTAAGAGACATGTTTCGTAAAATATTTAAGACCTACGTGGCTATATCATTTTGTTTGTTGGAAATACCAAACACGAGTATGATCACGAGAGTAATTACAGTTGCATTAGCTATGTTTCATAATTTCTGCGCCATAAGTATTTTATTGACATAATGTTCACAGCACTCACATTATGGATATTTGGCAAATACGTATATATTTTTGGTCGATTTTTATATTAATTTAAGTAATACTTTTCAAAAATAAGCAGTGTATTCAATATTTCATCTCTCTATCGTATAAAAAAGTTTTTAGTGACTTTGTTCTATTTTATTTTACATATATAAAGCAGGAAGGGCCGAACTAAGACACCACACTTCTATTTCAACACTTATTTCTCTCTTATTACACTGTCTCTAAAAAGTTTCTATACAATTAGATGTTCTTTAACATTGCTAATAATCTATTAATTATATTATTTTTATTAATCAGAAAGGGTAATAGAGGCAAAGGCGTATCAACATGATAACAAGTTCATGATGGATCACTGTTTCCATAGCAGGAAGAGACACAACTTTAATCCCAAAGTCAAAAATGTTTCCATACATCTATAATATTGTATAATATAACGTTTAATTCTATTTCTATTCAATGCCATTATTTTTCTCAAAACTATTATCTGAACACAACATTCATGGTCTAGTTAAGGTTCAGCCTACTTCAAATCATCATGTGTGTAGAGCAGTGCATTCGTGACCAAGTCGTCTGGTTGAGAGGTCAAGGATTTTCTCTCCGAAAAATTGGAACTTTACTAAATAAATTACATGCAACTGTATGTGTTGAACAGACACAATGAAATAAAATGTTTGAGGGCATTTTGTACAAGAAAATTGAATATAATTCATAGGACTGTTATGAACCAGGTGCATCCAATCCCTATACAAGTGCAACATCCTTAGTCAGTGAGCTTGAAAGAGATTATGAGATATGCGTAAATACAGGTACTGTCAGGAATCTTCTGAGAAAGAAAGATTTTCTTAGACAAATTGCAAGAAAACACCCCAAAAAATAAGAAGAGGTCGTCGTTTGCTATGGAGTATACCAATAAACCAAAAAATTTCTGGAATTTCGTGATCTTCTCAGATGAATCCAAATTAAACCTTTTTGTAGCAGATGGATGATATCATGTCTGCTGAAAAAAACAGGAAGCACTAATTTCAAAGAATTTGCGACCGACCTTCATGCCTGGAGGTGGAAGTGTAATAGTATGGGGGCGTATGAGTGCTTCAGGAGTTGACAATCTCGTTTTTATTGATTGAATTATGGACCAGCATGTATTCCTAAACATTCTAAGGAACAATTTAAAAAGTTCTGAAAAACTTTGACTTATGCCGAGGTTTATTTTTCAACTGGACAACGATCCTAAGCACACCACCAAGAAAGTAAAACAAAGGTTAATCCACAATTTTCCTAAAATGTTGAATTTTTTTTACTTAATTTTCATATTTATTCATTTTTAATGTTCATATTATGATATATTTATATAAAAATCGCGACCATGGTTGTAAATTGGCAATAAGAACAATTATAATTGTATAAAAATAAAAATTGGCAATAAGACAAGAGTTATAATAGAGATTTAAAAAAAAAAAAAACTTGTACCACTACAACCCATAAAGGGTCTGAGGTTCAGTACTATTTAGGGAAAGCACTGTTTCTAGGTCCACGGTTGTGCAAGGAGGTGATTTGACCGAGATCACACTCAACTGCCAGGTTTTCCCCCCTAATTAATTATTTAATTAAGGGTACCCACTTTATAGAGGCTGGGTGTGCCCCAGGAGGGACTCCTGACCCAAGGTCACCCCACCGCCAATGAAACAGATAAATAAATTTTCTGCCATGAGCCGGGGTTCGAACTCGGGACCCTTGCATTGGAAGCTCAGTGCCCTACCACTGAGCTACCCCTCTCCCCATTTTTAAAGAAGTTAAAAATTTGATTTTGTTCTATTTATTTTATGTTAATAAAAAATAATACAATCTGAACTTCACATATAGTTATACAATTTGAGCAGCGAGTAGTATGAACAATTGTATAATTTGTAAAATGAGAGTTGGTCCGCTGTTAGGCAAACAGGGAGTAACCCCCTAGTTTTTTTAATTTATTATTTTTTTTTTAAAACGGTAATTATTTTTGAAAAAAGGGTAGAAAATGAAAACAACTTTATGAAATGATGTTTCAGGTTATGTTATGTGATCCTTGAAGGCCTGCAAAAAAAATATAGGGATATTAATGCTTTCAGGGATAATTTCATACTGTCTCTTTCTTGACTACTGCTTGCATTTAGTAGATATATATACGTTATAATTTAAAAATAGTTCCTTATGCGATTATTTAAGTATTTAGCCCAGATCTCTCATAGAAACAAATTTGGATAAGGAAAAAAGAATTATTTGTCTATTTTTTTTTCTCTGGGGAGGGAGGTACAAGTGCATAGTTTTCTTGTCATATTTTTTATGTTTGGTGTCATTTTATTATTTTATGATCACTGAACGAAATATATAATAATGATATAATATAAAAAAAAATTATGAAATAGTGCATGATGAGTAATAATCAGTAATTGCGTAATGATTAATTTTAAATCAAAATTTATTATTTTATATACTAAGTTTTAAATGAAATAATAATATAGAATAAGGAGAATATATGTTAAACAAAGTTTAAAAATTAGAATATGTAAAAAAAAAGTGATTACATAAAAAAATTAAAATTTTTTACAGATTCTTGAAAATAGCTCAAGTAGCAGAAATGTTGGCAAATAAAGAAATACAATGTATTTTATTTGTGGTTTAAAATCTTCTAAGTAAAAACAAGCGAATAGTTTATTTTATTATACCAAATATTTTGTTTTAAAAATTTACAAATAAAATAAATAAACGCCTACATGCCAAAGATTGTATTTCATTCAACCAATGAAATATTTTTCTTATTTTTACTTCACTCATGTAAGTCTATTTGTGTGATTAATTTAATTAAGTCTGTTATGAATTAGAAAATTAATTTTGTTTTTCTTCAAGTCTTATTCTTTATCTAATTCATGTCACAAATTAAATAATGTTATTATTTAATATAGATAAATAGCAATTTATTTAATATAGTTACATTGATATTATCCTAGCTTCTATACATTGTTTCATATTTATTTTTTTAAAATAGGTTCAATACCAAACTCTTTACAATTTTAAAAATATCTTGAAAATATAATTTATATTCTATATTATTAACTGCTATTGGAAGCACCAAGCAAATTAACTTTAAAAAGAAAGATTAAATGGTAATTTTGAAAAAGATAGCTGACAAGGATATTATGGAATATTTTTATTTAACTCTACTGTTTGAAATATAATGTTATAATTTAAAAAAAAATAAAAATATTATTTTCCGTATAAATCAGGGTGAGAAATTGTTTATTATCCATAGGATATTCCTGCAGTTCATACATTTTTCGAAAGTATAAAAAGTTATTTACCCTTTATTTAGTAAAATGTGATAACAGTAATAAAAAATATAAATGAGGACAAAGTATAGGAACAAAATATAATGTTAATAAATGAATAACAAGTTCTAAATTATTAATTAGTCTTATGCAATTTTATATGCCTTCATTATAAATAATTGTATATGGTTAGATTCTTGAAATGAATATCTAATTTTGTGAGTAAAAATGTATATTGTTTTTCATTGCACATACATATACATACATACACATACATTGTTTTATAAAGTATTTGTCCTAAAAATTGTTTCATACTGCACTGTCCTACTTTGAAATTTTAAAAAGCTAACAAGCCTATTATAAGTATAGGTACATTTAGTCTAAAGGGCCGCTACTGACTGCTATCTGGCAATGTTTATAACCTGAACACTGATAGCTCCCATAACGCAGTGATAAGCCTTCTCCTACTTCCCATTTTCGTATTATTGTATTAAATTAGTATTATTGAAAGTGTAAACAGGTACAAAAACAAATGTAATAACAACAAAAATACTTTTATTTGACGGCAAATATATTAATTAAATAATAAAAACACTTTAAGAAGATATGTACATATAAAACATCAAACATCATAACAAATTATAATCATAACATCGGCATCATAACAAATTTAAAAGAACATATTTACATAGAAAAGAAAAAATATAAACACTATAAACAACGTATATACAAATTATTTTAAGTTAATTATTCACTTCCTTTTGTCTTATTTATTTTGGAAGGCAAAATTGTTTTATGCTACTTAAAATAGCGAGGAACGGGTCCTCTTCTCTGTGAACCCGCCGCCACAAAAATTCGCACAAATATGAATCGAGGTGTTGTCTGGCAGTTCCTCTATGTACTTTATTTCTCCACTTAGCTGAGCCCCACAATCTTTCTATGTGTTGAGTATGAACCCCAGTTGATGGATCGACAAAATTATACCGGTGATTCACTTGGAAATGGTCATAGTTTGCTTCGTTCAGTTGTCGGGTGTTGTATCCTTTCCAACAGTCCTTTAATAAGTGAACGTAATAAGGGAATAACTGAAAACCAAACAATGCAATAACTCAAAAGTTTGGCGGGATAAGAAGAGGGAGGTTATGTAACATGATGACATGACGTTAGATAAGATAGATAAGGAGTGAGGTTTCAAAACGGCCCCTTAGACTAAAAGTACCTAAGTATATACTAAACATATTGACATTAAATATGATTTTGAGATTGACTGACATAAAAAGTCATCCATTCTAGAAGAGGATTCTTATCCATAACTCCTGTAAGAGAATGAAAACAATGCTGTAAAATTGCTGCAGCATTTCACTGATACTGATCAATTTGTATACATCACTGTCAAGTGTATTGATTAGATTACATTCCGGGGAGTGGGGATTCAATACACATTAGTAATAAGTCATATATATATATTATGTACCTCGATGAAAAACTAAATAAATCATGACTGACAGGAGATACGAAGGGGAGGCCATGTTGGGGGCTAAGTCCCCCACAAAGGAAACAACCTGCGGCATCTGGTTCATCAAGGGCAAATGGCTACAGAAATTTGCCAACAAAAAGGCCTACGTCTTCTTGTATGGTCTCCTTGGATGTATCTTCTCTGCGGCCTTCTCCTATTTCAATGGCACGATAACAACTTTAGAGAAAAGGTTCAAGATACCAAGTAGAACTACAGGTCAGTATTATGGATTTTTTTTATTTACTTAATGTGTTGTTTTAATCATGTATAACCTAGGACCAGATTTAAAATTTTTGTCAGGGGAGGCAAGTATAATTTTACTTCCCCATCACCCCCTCCCCAAAGTTAACATTTTATAACAATAATTAATGTCAAAAAAACGGAAATGCATACGAAAAAATGTTTTTTTTTACCGTAGACTAAAAAAAAATTTCATTTAAAATTGGCTACATGGGGTAAGTATCCCCTTTCCTTGATCCTAGTTCGAGCCCAGGTTAGATAGTAATGGTTGCGTGATAATCCATGTTTTATAACAACAAATCTCATCTAATTCAATAAAACATGAAATTAATAACAGTTATCAATTGGAAATTTGTTCTTACTATTTTTTTTTTAATTCTTTCTTCACAAAACCTCATATTCATATGAAGTTTTTCTATTATTTTAATTATAAAATACTTTGGTAAATACTTTGGTTAGATGTTAATTTGCATGGTAGATAATAATTAATCATGTTGGAAAAATGATAATGCTTATGCGATAAAAATTTTTTAATCACAGTTTATTAACTAATACATTGTTATTGAATCCATGCATATTTTATTAATATGACTAATATTTTAAGATTCATATTTCATATGATACAACTAGGTTTATATATCCATGGCTTACTTCAGAGATGTAAATGCAAATAATCCGTGTTGAAGTTAAAGAATATTTAATATCTGAACACATCCTGTAATTCCATATTTAGTAATTATATTTGTATTATGATGTATATTTGGTAATTTATATAAATAATTAATGTTCAGATAAAAAATTTCCACTGAACCAGAATAGAAATTTTCCAATATTCACTATTTATAATTATATGGATAAATATCAGCATAGGAAGGTGAGGTAAATAGCAGATTCAACTTTGTTTAAGTTGTGATTTACTCATGTTAGGATCCACAATTTAGGCCATCTTAATTTTTTTCAGTTTAATTGGTGTACAAAATACACTTTATATTAAAATTTATCTTAGTATATTACTAGCAAATAACAAGGGAGTGCTAAAAAGAATAAGTGAATAATTTAAATAAATGTATTTATTGATACTTTAATTAAGTAAAGAAATGACAAATATATTAAATATCTTCAAATATCATGTGTTAAAGTTCTGAAGATAGGATATTAATGCTCCTGAAATGTAAATTTTGATGATTTAATTTTGTCAAGTAAAAAAAAAGAATATATAAAAAAAAATATTTTCAAAGTAATACATTTATAAAATTTATGAAATGCAAAAACTGTTGTTCCATCTAACTATACAAAGAAATAGTTTTAATTACGCATTTTTTTTTAGGTATAATTACAGTTGGAAATGACATTAGCCAACTCTTTGTCTCAGTAGTTTTAACATACTATGTTGGAAAAAGACATCGCCCTCGATGGATTGCTGTGGGTATTTACACTGTAGTTCTCTTCTGCATTATGAATGCACTACCTCACTTCTTGTACGGGCCAGGAGAAGATGCTTTTGGTTTGACCTATGAGTATGGTGGCAGTCGAGGAGTGTACAACATATCTGAATCTCAGGGTAAACCTCATCATTTCATGATTTATTTATTAACATTTATATTTACCTCACATGTTAACAAGTTGAAACTTCTTAATATTTTATTTTTAATCACAAATATTTAAGCATAAACATTTCCTTAGTAAAGGGGTTGTTAATATTAAAAATTTTCTCCAGAGGTTGGCAATAAAAACTTCCATGAATGCAAATACATTTTGTATTTGTTACATTTTACTTAAAGTTGAAGTTTCGGGATCCATTTTCCCAACATCAGCACTATCCTTTTAATTCATTTATATAAATTTCTAAAGTAAAAGCATTAGATAAAATAACTGTTGTTACAAATTTATTCATGAATTTATTAGCTATAATGTTTATCCATGTGTGCTCTTTCGTCTTATTTTATACATTCCACCAAACATATCTGTATTAACCAGTAAGGGTTTGTGTTTGTACTTTATACTAGATTTATAATCAATGATGCAGTATCTAACTAAAATCGATCGATGTTCTGTGTTAGACAGGCAGCGACTGTGTCAGGCTGAGTCTCACAAGAAATGCGATTCAACCTCAGGTAGTTTGGCTCCGCAGGTGATTTTATTTGTGGCTCAACTGATATCCGGAGTGGGTGGTTCCTTGTATTATACTCTTGGAGTGTCCTATATGGATGACAATATCAAGAAGTCCAAGACGCCAGTTTTGATTAGTAAGTAAATCCATGTTTGTTGTGAAGTTAATAAAACATTTATGTTTATAAAAAGTACATGATAATTTTAGTTAATTATTTATTCATAAGATAAATTCTCTACAAACTTTTTTGACTTATAAAATTTACCTTTATATTCTGATTTTTTTTAAAAAATGAAACCATATGATTGATTCCTTCAGTTCTATTTTTATAATAGTAAATATGCCATTATATTTATAAATACATGCTAAAGGTGAAGATATAATTTATTAGGAATTCTTGAGATTAAAAACACTTCACCTCTTAAAACTTTATCTTTACTTGATTTTAAGGGGAACTGTTAGCTCCCAAGCTAATAAGCCATGGTAAATTTTAAATTAAATATATATACAAGTTGTACATAGTGTATATTGTAACAAATACATATGCCTTAAAACCACTTGCAATATGATCCAAATCACTTGAAGATGAAATGACAGCTGAAATTTAATGAAAATAAAGTTATAAATGATGAAGTGTTTTTTAGTTTCAAATATTCCTAATTATGCATTTTTAAATATAATAAGAACGAATAGATATTTCATAAATCATACGCAATTATACAAATCACACACAATACTAGTATAGAAAATGGCAATTAAACACTGATTTTTATATTGTTTTATTATTTAATATCTAATAAATCAAATTTATTTTTTGTATTAAAAAAAATCTAGGAAACCATAATACTATTCTTATGTTTATTTATACAGACCAAGTTGTCTATTATTAGTTGATTATCCAACATTAGAAAATGTTTTATAATGTATCGTAATTATTCATTAAGTGGAAACTTCATTTATGGGTAAAAAGAAAACATAATATATTTGTTGCATGTAATATTTTCCATACGATTCCCTATTTTTCTTTCTATTTTTTTTTATTTTACAGTAATTATAATCAGTCCACAAGGTCACAAAAATAAGTTGGAAACTCAGAACTCTCATCTAAAGTTCGGAAATATTTAGAGCTGTGAGTTCTTCACAGAATGCAGAAGCTTTGAATGATGATCATAATAAACATAACTCATTAGGATCATTTTTGCCTACCCAACTTACTCTTTGTGATTGCCAAAATATTATTTAAAAACCTACATATCATTTTATACCATGTATATTTATAAATACAGAATATGCACTAAAAATATTGCTTTTAATGTAGACTTTTTTTTTCATTATGGAGGAATATTAAAAAGATATAATAATTATTTTATAAACACAAATGAATTTAAGAATATGACAAATATAATATCAAGGTGGAAAGGCGGATGGTATTGTTTTAAGAGTATTAGCACAATAAGAACTGCTAAAATAGTGACACGACAAAGCAATTTATTTGCTTTCTAATTTCAACAAATGAATCGTAAAATATTGAACAAATATGCTTTGCCTTAGGAGAACTACCTTGAACAAACTTTATTATCTCTAATTTATCCAGTTATAACGTGTTCTATGTTTATCTTCAGTAGTGAATTTTTTATTGTTACAATGGGAAGACTAGATGATTTTATGTTTTCTATACAATAAATATACATGATTTCAATCAAATTTATTTTCATCAACTCACTGAGAGCTTCTTAATTTTATAAAATAAAGTGTCATGAGACTGTATGAATAGTATAACTATTAATTAACAATTTAAGAAGGCAGTTTATCTATCATATAAAAAATATTGTTAAATTATAATCAGGATCTAAGATGGATATTACAATTTGTAAATTCAATAGCTAAATTATGTGTAGTCAAACTTAATTAAATTATATTAAAGATATTATTATTGTTATATCAGAGAACTAATTCTTTAAAATTCTTTTAGGTTTTTCATATTTTATAAAAATGTTAGGACCTGCCATTGGATATGCACTGGCATCTCTGTGTCTTAAATTTTATATATCACCAACTTTAACACCAAAAATTGATAACAAAGATCCAAGATGGCTAGGTGCGTGGTGGATAGGTAATAGTAGAAATAAAAACAATTTTTTTTCTTTATATAGATTAAGAATATTAGAGAAGTAATAATATAATTTTTTTGTATTTTCGAAAAAAAAATATAAGGTTGGTTGATTCTTGGCTTGGTAATGTTCATATGTGCTTCATTACTTGGTCTTTTTCCCAAAACGCTGCCAAGAGCAGCACTAAGGAGGTCGCAATCTCAAGACAAAACCAAAGAAGTTGAAGAAATGCCTGCATCACTCCAAGGTAATTCTAGTACCATTCTTACCATTTAATTTTATTTTAAAAATACCACTTAAACTGGTCCAATATATATATATAAATATATATATGAGACCTTAAAAAAGTTCAAACTATATCTTTTTGAACATTTCCATGTAGAATATAATGTCAGTTAAAGGAAAACATCATTAAGTAACATCTTAGAAAATTAAATAACTATGTCCTTTGATAAATTTTCTCACTGTGAATTCCAAACATTCTGCTTTTATTGAACCTATTTTAAACATATAATAGGACCTATTTTAAACATATAATTTGTGTTTTTGAGGTGGATTTAATAAGTTTTAGCATCGATAAATATAGCTGAAGTACTTAAAGTCAAAAGCAAGTACTTAAAACAAAAAAGTTTAGCTCCATTAAATATGTACTTCAGTGACTTTTTCAAATAAACTGACAGTTAGCTTTAAAAAAAACACAATTGTATCTACCAATTTGTTTTTATAGTAAAAATTAAATTTTATTTCGCATCATATTATATTTTATATACAATAATGAATTAGAATTTAATCAGTAAGTTAAGAAACTCCACTTGGAAAAATAAAAAAAAAACCAAACAATTTTAAGCACAATAATTTCAGGCAAACCAAAACAACTGATAATTAGAGTTGATGAATTTATGAGAGTATACTTCCAAAAGAGGTAACTATCTCAACAAATTGGAAACTTGGTAAATTTTAAATATACTCCGAAAAATGATTTATGGGGTTTCTCAACTCATCTACTTTTTTATAACTACTGTTAATGTATTTTTTTTTATTAATTTAATATTTCAATTTCTAGACATGTTTCAGACATTTAAACGGCTTATAGCAAATCGGACACTGATGTGTAACAATTTTGCAGCTGTATTCTATTTCATGGGGTACATGCCCTATTGGGTATTTATGCCAAAATATATAGAAATAATGTACAAACAATCTGCATCAAAGGCAAGTCTCATTACAGGTATATATTTGTCAAATTTTATTTCTAACAAGCTTTGGGAATACATTATTTACCTTTTTCTTTTATTTTTATTTTTTACTTACCTCATATAATTTACATTTATGTTCAATTTATTTTTATTTCACTACTTTTAGGAACAGTTGGCTTAATTTTCTCTGCAATCGGTATATTGATTAGTGGATTGGTCATTTCAAAATATAAACCTGGCGCCCGGTCCCTAGCCATGTGGAACGTAATCGTTGGAACGATTTCAGCACTCGGTCTTGTATCTTATGCATATCTTGGATGTTTAGCAAATGACACTCAAGGGACTATCCTAGCTTCGGGAGAGTAAGCAGATGAAAATATCTACTATTTACATAATCAATAGTTTAGATACCTTTTCAGGCTCTTAGGAATGATGAATTTTAACTAACGGAACGTAAAAAAAAACCAAAGATAATTCATGGAGAAATGACAAATTTCAATTTCAATCCTTAAATTCTTTAATAGGAATATATATAAAAAAATCTGACAGTTTTAAGTCAGTTGACTGATACAGGATAGGTTGGATTTTAAAGATTTTGAGTTGGGCAACAAAACCTGGTTAAGACTTTCCTACGGAACTCTGGATTCTGTGTTTTAAAGCAATGAAATATATCATTACTGAAACCACTAACAGTTCCAAGATATAATTTTGGAGGGGGGCTTCAGCCTGGATGTTTTTTTTTTGTATATATTACTTCAGAAGAAAGAAAGAAACTACCTATATGAAATGGTGTCTAAGTGATTCTTTAAGTCCTATTAAATGTAATTAGATGAACAATAATGGTTTTAGAGGTAATTTTTTTCATAAAACATGGTTATATTTTTCTGTTTTGGAGGGGGGTTTCAGTCTGAAAGCCCCCATCTCCCGTAAATCCACCTGTAACTGAGATAATTCATGAACCACCCATATTTTGTGATAGCCGCACTATTAAAAAATCTAATGACATACCATGTAATAAATTAACACATGTCATTATTAATCAAAATTTAAAATATTGTTAGTTATTATAGTCTATGGTAAACTAGAAATCAATTGAAGAATTAAACAAAGGATAATAGTCTTAGGATCTATCTGAGCAACTCAGATAGTATAAAAACGTTTTAATATTAAAAATTATTGTGGTTAACATTAATATATCAGGATGTCCCATAAGTTCTTTCCCTTTTCTTTATTTGTTGTCTAAGGTTAATTTAATGTGTTATATATATGAACCATTCTGCTCTATTACCTTCTTTCATCTCTCAAGAAGCCTCATTTGTCCCTCTTTCCAACATTGTGAGACTTGCTTGCAAAATATTCATCAAGGTGTATTTTTATATTGTTTTTGGATTTGTGACATTTATTATGATGAGAATTTTTAAACATAATGGGGCAAGGTCTGTAGAGTATGGAGAATGAGGTAGAACATTCCAATCAAACTGTAAAAGTTTCTGACTTATGGCCAATGCAACATGCACCATATTTTTAATTAATACCCTAATATTTAATTATTTTAAACGTAGTTTGTGAGAGTATTTTTAACTACAATATTTTGTGGGTGTATTTTTAGTTAAAATATTTTGTGGGTGTATTTTAATTTTCTTTGATGTTAATATCAGCTTAGAAGTGATGAAGGTCAAACTTATGTATACAATTTTTAATAAGTGAGAGATCTACAAACCAGAAATTCTACTCTTCCTCACTAACCCAAAAGGTCTCATTGAGTACAATACTGAGTTAGAATAAGTTTATGGTTGGCTGAATCTTTTCTTAACTGTTAAACTGAGAGATATTTTTTTCTGAGGCGAGATAAAAGAAAAGTATAGCATCCTCAATCATGTAAATTTAGTAGACTTTCTTGATAATAATGCATTGTTTGTCTAAGTAAACATGTTTCCTTCATGTTATACTTAATTTGAACATTCCTGCTCGGCTATAATAGTTTCATTAAAATTTAATAAACTCATTGTGTCACCAAACTAAAACATAAAACAAATTATTCATTATTTTTCATACAATAATGCATTGAAATCATGATATTTCAAACTGAGTCCACTGAAAAAACAACCTGTAACTCAATAAATATTTATCTTTTTTTTAAATTATTGTTTTATTATTATTATTTTTAGCTCATAGTGTTTTATTAAGGTATGTATACAAATAATTCAAACTAATATAATTTTATCCACCAGATTAAATGCTACTCAAACCTGCAATATGGACTGTAATTGTGATTATGTGAAATATTCACCTGTTTGTGCTTATGGAAAATCATATATATCTCCTTGTCATGCTGGATGCAAAAGCTCAGAAATTCTAAGCAATGGATCCAAAGTAAATATATATATTTTTGCTCAATCTGGTTTTGTTATACAGGGTGTTTAAGGACCTCAAAACAAGAAAAAAAGATTGTCGTTGTTATGAATTATTTACGTTATATTAAGTGAATAAAACATATTTATTTGTTCCAACTACTTTATTTATTAAACGTAAACATTAAATTCATATTAAATGTTGTTCAAAGTGATTTCCTTGAGCATTAAGACAGGCTCGGCATCTTTCTTCAACAGCTTCAGTGCAGAACGGCATATTATGATACTGTTATGAAAACTCTACGAAAGCCTTTTACAAACTGATAAATGTTATAGGGAGTTTCCAATGCTAATTCCAAATAGTATTAAACCTTATGTTGCCAATAGTTTTTCTATAGTTATTGCTTAGTTCCAATAGTTATTGTGAATATTGTCTGTCTAATCTATCTCCTAAACAAAGCGTTTGCGGGCATACCTTCACCTTGAACTAAATTTAATATGAATCTTAATGTTTAAATTTAATTAATAAAGTAGTTGGAATAAATAAATAGATTTTATTTATTTCATATAACGTAAATAATTCATAACAACGAAAATCTTTAGGTGTAAACAAAGAGTTTGCGGACATTTTTTCGTTGTTTTGAGGTCCTTAGTCCATTTTTGCAGTTTGGCCACTTAACCCTGAAACACCCTGTATAAATGCTTATTTTTGAAGTGAATACTAACTCTCTCATGAAATTATTTTGACAAAATTAATTGAGTATACTTGTAATATGCATCAACTTGTATAACTTCTTGATTTAAAAATTTCTTGGATATTATAATTTTGAATCATTCATATTACATCTGTAATTACAATTACTATATTTTCAATTTAATTATTAACAAAAATGGAAAAAAGTAAGTTAAATTCGTTAATTTTTCAGGTTTACACAGAATGTAGTTGTGTAAAAGAATTTAATTCTGAAGGTCAGCTTCTACCTCAAATCGCTAACACAGGACCATGTCCGATTGACTGTAAACAAAAATTTTACATATTTCTTGCTGTCGTATGTTTTCTCAAACTCACAGGAGCAACAGGAAGAGCTTCCAATTTTTTAGTCTCAGTAAGGTAATTTAATAATTGAGAAAAAAATAAACCAAATAGATAATACTGAACAGTATTATTTTATGCCTAAAAATATGTTGAATCATTTTCAGATGTATTGAAGAGAAAGATAAACCTGTAGCCCTTGGGTTTGGTCTAATGCTGATGAGTATGTTCTCTTTTATCCCATCGCCAATATTCTTTGGATATGTTATAGGTATGTGTATATGAATTATATTCATTTTACTGCCTTTCTAAAACAAGTTTTCATAAATTTCATGACATCCACAGATACAACATGCCTCGTCTGGGGTAAAACATGCTCGGGAACAGGGAACTGTTGGCTGTACAATGGTGAAGCCCTCAGATATATTCTAAACTTTACAGCGACAGGTGATTATTTTTACCTATAAATACTTGTTATTTAACCTATAGCTTTAGGATAACTTTACTAAAATAATAAAATATTCAATTTTTAGCTTTTGTGACAGTCGGAATACTGTTTGACTTCGGAGTGTGGTATTATGTTAAAGGCCTCAAAATCTTTGATGAAGACTCAGAAATGAAGGTTGTCAATGTTGAACAAAATAAGAAATAGTCATGAAGTTTTATTTTGTATATTTGTACTAATTTAATAATATGTTAATAAATTATATTATAACCCAATTAGCATATTTACTTCCTAATGCCATAACTAAACTGGAAATGGGACGAAGTTAAATACTGTAACTATTTTTGTAATATTAAATATTGTAAAGATACACAATATGCTTAACAAAGCCACAATGAATTATACCAAATAAACATACAAAACAAAATGGTGTAATTTTTGGTGAGGGACCAAGATGTGTGATCGATGTATGAAGTGGTTCGAGGCTCCATGCTGAAAGGCTCATAATGAGGAAGAAAAAGAAAACAGGGAAAGAAATAATATTATGGCTTCTTCCCTGGGTTGTTATATCTATTGTGTATTGCTCTAGTTTTTTTCTCCATGGGAATTTTTTTTCTTTCCCATTTTTGCCCTGGAGATAAAAAAAAAACATAACATTGGGAAACATTTAGATAATATTAATTCTTAATTTTCACTTAATAAGTGTTCACTTGACTAATGACTAAAATAAATTCCCCACTAGGTTGTAAAAGCACAATCTGTTGATAAGGCTGCCAGAAACAAAGTGGCAAATAAAATATGATGTTTTCTATTCTGAAATTTTCCACTATTGTCTTATTCTGCAAATTTTTCACAATATCTCTTCATTCCTTTCAGCCAAAATTTTGATTAATTCAGTTGCATCCTTTCAAGTTTTTACACAATATGTCGTTTATCTTATCCAAGTTTCCAGTTTTTAAACATTTCCAAGTTCTAGTTAATATTTTTTCTTCTCCAGATGTAAGAGTGATCATGTTCACCTCCATCAGTTCTTTTATCTTCCCTTAAAAATCGATTTCAGCAGTTAACGTTCATAGCATTGATGACCTATGTGTAAACAATGATGAAATCCAATACAAATGTTCTTACTTTACAATATTCACTAGGCATATTATTAGTAATAAATCGGTTGTTTTGAAGAGCTATCACTTATATTAAATTGATTGATAGGTTATATTCCAAACTTTGCAAACAATTCAAACTGAACAATATAAATATGAAAACGACATTGAAATGTTGCTGCAGCATCATTTATTGTATGCAGTATATCACTGATAACAGAAATTTTGTAGACACCTTATCTCATTACGACTGAGAATTAAACAAACAAGTCCAAGTGATGCTATTTAAAATACCTTTACAGTTTATTTTTTATAGTGTCCTAGCAAAATTAATAATGTCATTGTTTTACGACTTGGTTGGTGCCAACGAACGAGAGATGATGTAGTATTTATATATTTTTTGTTTTGTTTTTTTAATTTTTAAAAATATTATAGAAAAAAACATTATTAAAGAATAATTACTGTACGAAATGATGAAATTTGATAATGGATCATGCAATGATGCTAGGATACATTTATTTTAAGGGAACCAATTGGTTAATAAAAATACAATTTTTATATATTTACAGAGAAATATATAACATTAAGGATTATCTATTTAAACCCCACCAATAATTGCAGTCATTACCAGCAACGTAACCAAATACATATTGGTGAACAATAGAAAAAAAAAATGAAAACGACAACATATTAATCTCAATAAGAAAATATAATAAATTTCATAGTATAGTTATTAAATATTTCGATACATCAAACTTTATAAGTAATTGAAATAGTTGAGAAAATTATGTTTCTGATCTAATATAGTGAGTTGTACACAGTCTAAAAACATTAAAATAGACAAATAAATATATTAATATAAATTCTTCAACTAGATAAATCAACTATAGCTATTTAATTAATTATATATTTTATAGTTATTTCTAAGAGAAAAAATGCTGTAAGGATTTCTAGGCACTAAAACATGAATATTTTAGAAAAAAATTATATAAGACATTTTACTAACTGAGTTGCCTCATATCAAAGACTTTTTAAAAAAGGGGGAAAAAAAGCCAATATTTATAAAATAGCTTCAATTTAAACCAACTCGATTGGTTTTTTTTTTTTTTTTTTTTTTTTTTTTTTTTTTTTTTTTTTTTTTTTTTTTTTTTTTTTTTTACGATTCAATTTCAACTTTAACATTCTTAAATAAAATCACCAGAAACAATTTGAATTGAACCTGTATAAAATATAAAACGAAACTCGGTTTTTTTTCCACTTTCTGAAAACGATATAGATTTGTCGTTTGATATGATGCCATTCAACAAAGGGTTCAAGAAAAAATTATTTCAATAAAATAAAACAAATTAAAATATTAATTTTAATGAAAATTATGACGTTAAACATTATAATTTAGTATCGTTTTGTGATATGAATATATTCAAGCAATATTGAAAACAATATCAGATAGGTAAGGATGTCTCCTTAATAGAAAATGTCATGTTTTAATCAGAAACTTTCCTTGTATATTTATGTTACAGTATGTCAAAGGAAAAATATTACGGAAAATGCAGGTGTCATTATCTCACCTCAAGAAGATCCTCAGAAAATATAACCAATAATAAATTTTGTTAATTATTATCCTAGATTCAAGTATAAATCTGTGGCACCAGTGAAAAGTATGTTAAGTGCAAGTTTGTGATTTTTTATTGATATCACTAGAAAGATAATTTTTCTCATTTTTTTTGTTTCTACTGGGCTAAGTTATGCGACAGAGATGAACATTCCTCTGTGAATAATGATTTGAAACTCGAAAATTGAACTGGAACCTGCGAAAATTCCAAACTTCCAATTTTGTTGTTCCATAAATATGATTTTTGCAATTATCACACACACAATATGCACAGGTTTTACAGAAATAATAATAATACAACAGAATCAAGGAATGATAAAAAGTAGTTATCATATGGAGCAGTTCTAAGGCAAGATGGATAAAGAATACTTGGAGATAGGAAGAAAAGTTGGGATCGAGTGATGCTGAAGTGTACAGAAGATATTTCAATTGGTGAAATTGAAAGACAAAGCAAGGCGATTGTATGGAAAAAGTTTGATAGGCAGGAATATAAAAAATGTTGCTGATAAAAAAAGCAAACTTCAATTCAGCATAGAAAATGGTTTAAATAGTTAGGTAAAAGTCCCTGGGAAAAATATGATGAAATATTTCAATAGTTTTTTAGTTATCAATTGTTAAATACGAAGCACACATACAGTTGTAGTCAACGAATGTAAAAATCAGTAACGGAAAACGAGACTGTTTAAGGAAGAAATGACCAGTGTTAAAAATTCTTCAATGTTTAAAAAAACTCCCTTATTTAACAAGCTTTAAGTGTAGTAAAAATATTGGTATGTAATTCAGTCTTCTCGGAGAACCAATGTATTCAGCAAAATTAATTACATAGCTTTTATTTTTTTATTCTCTGACCAGGAATCTATTGCAATTAATTGATCAATAAAGTGAAATTTTTTATTACATTTCTTGTTAAATATTTAAAAACAAATGTTGCATTTTCAAAAAATAAATATTTAAAAATTACTACTCAAAATGACAGTGCTTTTCATATAGATCTTAAACAACCAAAGGAACTGATACTTATGGTATTTAGGATGACTAAATGATTATAATGCTAATATTTATGTTTTCAAAAAAATTATTCAAGCAATAGATAGATTGGTTAATTTTTTTTATAAATGTTTTAAAAATAAACCGATTATCATAAATTTGTTCTGTTGAAAAATGGAGGTGAATCTCAAATTTTTTTGGCATAAACATCAATTTAATTAATATGAAATTAAAGCTTATTAAACAACAAAACTGCAATTACATATTTAAGCTTGTTTTCAATGATAGTACTATAATTAACGTAAGGTTGTATGAATGGGAACCCTATGCCTTGCGTTATCTCAAAAATAGTACGTTTTTGGGCTTAAAGGGAGAACTATCCGGGTCTTGATGTACGCATCAATATCTTCAAGGTCCAATTTGTCCCGCTTCGATCTACAGACCTACCACCGTTCCAGTATTGAAGCCTAGCAAATTTTTTGTATCGACTTTATTTATTTTAGAAAGAAAAACAAAAGTGGAGATTACTATTCGCTAACCCCCCGTGAAATTTTGAATCCAGCCCATTCGTGGTGTTTAAGAATGACAGGAGCTTATATTTGGTACAAAACCGATTTCGAGCTTCACTGTAATAATATATGTCGGGATTCTTCTCCACATAATTTTTCAATAGACTTTTAGTTCAACATTAAGGGCCAGTTGTACAATTCACGGTTTAAACCAAGATTTATTTATCTGAGCTTAATCTACCAGAAACAACTCAGCTATGTTCTCTACCACTTTCGATCGTTGGTAAAAAGTTAAATCTAAACCGAGATATAGAAAGGAAGCAGGAGGTTACTAATAGGTTTTTCTACAGTTCTTTTTTTGTAAAAGCTTCTCAAGTGTTTGTTTTCGTTTAACGAAAGTCAAAGTTAAAGTAATTTGTATCTATCATAATCTATCACAAAATTCATCATCGGACTAATGGACAAAATTATTCATCGGAGGACGATACACTCCAATAGTAAAAATGCAATCAATCGAGAAAAGCCTGGTCATCGTCAAAATCTAGCATATCACCTTTTGCAAGAGAAAAGATAAATAAAAATGATTAGCACAAAGGATACAGCAAAAACACCGTGGAAGGTTATCATAGTTGCCAAAGGTAACCATAGGTAACTAAGTTTTTCTTCGAAGTAAAGCTTGAGCAACAACGGTCGACCGATCAAGATTAAACTTGTTTTAATCTTAGATAACGCTTAACTAAGTCGGAGCAACTTACCCTAAAAACAATATTTTCATTTCCAAAACCTAAACATGTGTTAAGTATCCCTTGGCAACCACTATAGAAATGTAACTTTCAATAATAACTGCACAAGAGCATTCAGTAATAATCTTGAAATATTTCAAAAATTGATCATTTTTGGCGTTTAAAACGCAGGGTTCGATAGTTCCTTTGAAACTATTCCGGTTATCGATGACTATGTCAAAGTCATTGAAACAATTTATTTATATAAGGACATATATTATAACAATAGTTCGTGATACATATCCCTTTTTATCAAATTATTAACACCCGCATGGAACTTGGTAAATAGCTTCATCTCATCGTAACCTACAAATGTTTCATTTACGAAAAC